AGGCTCCAGGCTCTGAGCTGGCAGTCAGCACAGAGCCCGACGCGGGGCTCGAACCCACGAACCGCGAGATCATGACCTAAGCGAAAGTCGGACGCTTAACCGACTAAGCCACCCAGGCGCCCCATGCATCTGCCTCTTGATTTTGGCTCAGATTATGATCTCGTGGTTCATGAGTTTGAGCCTCACATCTGGCTCTGCCCTGACAGCACAGAGCCTGCTTAGGATTCTGTCCCTCCCTCCCCCCCCTCTCACACACAAAGTCTCTCAAAATAAATGAACAAACATTTAAAAATAAATTAGAGGCATCTGGGTGGCTCAGTCAGTTGAAACTCAAACTTCAGTTCAGGTCATGATCTCACGGTATATGAGTTCGAGCCCCACATCAGGCTCTGTGCTGACAGCTCAGAGCCTGGAGCCTGCTTCGGATTCTGTGTCTCCCTCTCTCTCTGCCCCTCCCCTGCTTGCTCACACTCTCCTCCCACCCCCAAGAAAATAAACATTAAAGAAAATTTAACAAATTAAGTCTTAAAAGAGAAAGAAAATATAGAAACAATAAAAACTCCTTTAAAGAAGTACCCCTCTCATTTCAAAGATCACCAAATACCTGCTGGGGACCCTGGTGCCTACAAACTGCTCAGACCAGCAACAGACCCAGTTCTAAGAAATCTGGAGGAAAGGAAGGCCACACACGCAAACACTTACCCAGCTTGGGGGCAGGTGAGAACCCTGAAGTGTTGTCCAGAACCTGGGTGCCAGCAGGCGGCAGGCCCTTAGCCTGTGCCTTGGCCTCTTCAATGGCATGCCTTCTCTTCTCCACTTCACCTTCAAGGTGTGTAAGATCAACCTACGGGAGTCAAAGTCCAGTTTTTAGAACCAAATACCTCTAGTCAAACACAAATGCATGTTATGTGAAAAAATACAGAACCTTTTTCCGGGTATAAAGCTGCAGGATTTTTAAGCAGATTTCTTGAATTTCTTCTTCAGTTGCTCCAAACAAAAGAAACCAATGGGGACGATTGGGCAAAGGGATCTGTAAACACAACAGTGATTACCAACACCGTTAATACTTTTTGCGGCCAACCAGATTCTTAGGGCCAGAAAATACAAGCCTGCTGGTCACTGAGACATGCTTTTTATTGGTACTGAGCCAACCTGAAGAACACTATGGAGAAGTTTACCGGAGACAGAGACGGAAACAGACAGGGATCCCTGGTGGTGGCGCAACACTGACCTCCAGTGTCCGAGCAGCAAGATAAATGCAGGCGCAGGCGATGCTCTCAGGCTGGAACCTCACGAAGACGTCTGTGCGAAGGCTGTCGTTCATGTAATTCCTGAAAAGCAAAGGCAGGAAGAACTGCAACACCCCGGGCACCCCCAGGACACCCGTGTGCGCCGTCTACACAAGATCTCTAGTCTACATGGTCTACTCCTAGGCTTAGAGCTACACAGTCCTGTGAGGCTCAGGATTCCTGGAGAGACATTCTAGCTGGTTTTTGTGAGTACAGGACAGGAAAACAGGGAAATTACTGGAAAAAAAAATCTAAAAAGCTGGCTGAATGTCAGACAACACATGTTGCTATGAAAGAGAACCGACTTTAACTTTACTTTTCCCTCAACTTCTGGCTGCTCTCGTGCAAAGCACGATGCCTCAGAGAGAAAAAGTCTACCATAGTGGCTGAAATGTACTTGAAAGGAATCTAAATGCTCAAAATCCATAGTGCAGAGAAACATGCAAACTCAAATGAATGGGCTGAGCAGGCAGCCTGCGAGGGCTCTTCGGAGACAAGCCGTCCTCTTGCGTCCATTCTCCTTGAAGAGGCGCTCAGAGTCTGGCCCTTCTCGTTCCGCGAGGGAGTCCACTTGGAAAGGGAAAACACCCCTGGGCGCATGGGCACATCATGCAGAGGAAGGCTCAATGCCCAAAGGGAAGTCCTCTTCTCAGGCTTATCAAAGAACCGTTTCCAAATTGTCCCATTTGAATAAGGAGTCTTAAAATGAACATTCATAAAATCAGACAAAAGCAACAAAACACTACAAGTCTCAACATAATTAATACATTTAAAAAACACTGTACTTTAGATAATATAAAAATACAAAACACTGCACTTTTAATAAGTTTAAGTCTTTTTAAATTGGCTACATTTCAACATTTTCTTTTAAATGTTTCTCTAAAATATGCCAAAATCAGATCTCATATTCACTTCATCAATATTGCAAACACAACAGATTAATTCCATGAGAAGACAGTCAACTAGATCATACGTTTATTGCTCCTAACCTATCCCACTATGAAAAGCCTTAGAGTCAAGCCACATCCACAGGGGAGCCAAGTCACGCTACAGGATATGACTGATACCCCCGCCACCCCTTCCCCCAGTATCTTTCCCCTAAACTCTGGAGAAGGGGACACACAAACCCACTCCGATTTCTCAGGGACAGAGCCAACAAATGCCAGCTAGCGGCACCTGGGTCTGGAAGCTCTGGCTCCAGGCATCAAGAGGTAATCGAGGAAACACCTACATGATGGCACCAAGGCCGTAGGTCTCGGAGTATTTCAAGTGAACAGTTCACACGCTTTATAAACATAACCATCAGTAACTTTTTTGGTTCTAATAAACTCTCAGTACTCAAAATAGTAAGGAAGTTAATCTACTAACTTTTAAATCCTAAAAACAAAACAAATGAAGTTCCTAAGACATGTATTTTAACTTATTACATATTTAAGTTACAATATAAAAGTGTCCATGAAATAATCTAAAGATGCACACCTTTTACTAAAATGTGTCAATACTCAGCTGCTGAAAAGAGCAACTTTAGGACTTCCAGGAATAATGACATAATCCCACTATGAGTCTCAATTCCCATCAGCCAATTCTTAACGGCTTTCCGTAGAAAACATTTTTAAGACAAAGGTACTGCATCTTTATTGCACAAGTACAGCAGTTTTAAAGGGACAAAATTCAAGTCAAGACAGTTAACTCTAATCGATACAATTACCAAAGCACGACAGAGGATTAACAAGAAGCACAACCGGCAGAGAACCACAGCAGCAGTCGGCCAGCACTATACTATCGTGAGCATACCACCGTCTAGAGCCGGCCTTCGGCGGAGAGCCTGCACTGGACTGGCTGAGGACGGCCGCTGTCCCTGCACCAAAGCGCTTGGACAGTAGAGGAGAAGTCTTAGTCACTTACCCTCAGAGGCTACCCTTTGATTGAAAGAGTACAGAAAAGAAAAGTCAAAATAGGTTCTCTATTAGATATGGCATAGCACCAGACAATTCAGGCAGCAAAAATATGACCTTAACAGACTTAACTCCGTGGAAAAAATTCACAAAGCACCCAGCACTAACTGTTACTTCAAGCTTCATCTCTAGCACATATGCATTGTATAAACCAGTCCCCAGAAAAACTTTCTAATCCTCTTTCTCCCCATAAGATCCTCTCTAGTAAGAGGCAGTTGGAAGTAATTTCACAGGAGATATAAGACCACGACATCAACGCTGGCACCCATGGGAAAGATCCTGATGTGCCAAATCAACAGCCCCCAAAGGGAAGCCCAGTGAATGCTGTGCTGGAGGGTCCGGGGAGGGTCCGGGCCGCCTTACCGTTACACCAGTGCCCGGTATTTTGGGAGGCTGATTGGAACTTACACAGCAGGAACACTGGGCACTCAGACAACTCCAGCCCACAGTCAAGTCATGGGACCGACTACCCACTGCCCAAGTGCCTCCAATCAACACATGCCTGCACGCCCTCTGGTCTCATAAAACAAGGAAAGTCAACTCACCATGAGGTCTGGACCAGGTGCTGGTTACGCTCACACTCTAACACCTGAAGGTACATAACGATTATCTGGAAAATACAGGTCAGGCAGTTATTACCAAGAACCCTGAGGAGCCAGAAACCAGATCTTGAGAACGTCCATGCAGCAAACATGAGCCTCATGCTAGATCCCAGGGGTGGCTGCTGGTCAAATGCCCGGTGCACAGTTCGGCTGGAGGGGAGTTTGCTGACAGGCTCCGCTACCTGCTTTCGAACCCCGGCAGCACAAAAACACGAGACCAGGCTGCTCCCACAGCAGAGGCGGCCTCGTGTTTCATGGCCGTCACAAGGCTGCCTCTCATTCTCATCTTCAACATAGTTTCCACCAGTGAGATCAGCTTGTCCTAAGCATCTCTGTACCCTAGTCACCAACTTAGACAAGACACGATGTGAAAATACTTTCAGCAAATGAAATAGATATTCTAAAAACCATGGTAACTTAATCAAGAATTTGAATGAATGCCAGAAAATCAAACAAGCAAGAGACAAAAGATACGAAGAAATGCACCAATAAAAAGGGGGGAAAAAGCAAAGATGCAAATTGCAGTCTTTTTTAAAAAGGAATCCGTGTGCGTGTCACATAAAACTTCCCGCGGGGCGGTATGGCAGCCACGCTCCTCGGCAGCCACGCGCCACAGCACTGCTTTAGCTCATTTCCAAATAAAGGGTTCAGAATCCTTCAATGCCCCCAAAAGAGGAAACAGGCTATCACTAAAGCAACTTTAGAAAATTAGCTGTTGAGGAAAAAAAACATAAATTGACAGACTCAAATTTTCAAGTTCATCACTATTTTTGAAAGCTCAAACCTAAAAAACACCACTTCCAGAACTCTTAAAAACGTACCAACCACTAAAATTAACAGTACGAGAAGGCTAACGAGTAAGTAACTGTTCTGATGTCTTAGATATAAACTGGGAAACCACATCAGGAATATGTTTAGTCCTCTTCAGAGTTTTCAACCTTGGTGAGAAGGGAGCAGTGGCCCAGGTGGGCTCAGGGGACAGCAGGGCCACATACCCACCTTGTGAGGGTGCTTCACGTGGACACAGAAACCCAGCTCTTTAAGAACTCGTCTTTCTGCCTTTATAATCTGATTCTTTAAATTAACGTAATCTTGATCCAACAGCAGAGGCACGGGTTTCCTACACGGACAAAGCACACGTGCGTATAAGGGTCAAATAACAAAGTCTTTCTTTCAAACCCCAATTACCTCCAAGTGATGAAAATCCACTATACGAGCAACATAGATGTGGCCTAGGAAGTTCGCTTCATTTCCTTTAACAAAACCAGAGGGTCTTTCTCAAACCCCAGCGCTACCCTGCCTGTGTGCCTTTTCCACAGGACGCACAACAAACACCGCGTGGAACCGGTCTCAAGATCTCATCACACAAGCACGTCACGTGGCTCACGACACAAGTGTTGTGTGTTATAGAACAAATGGAAAACCAAAGAACCACGGACACAGAACACTGAAACAGCCTGAGGCTGCACTTTCCAGAGGACTTCCATCAGGATAAAGGAAGCATAAAGTCTGGGATGTCCAGGCAGCGGTTCCCAACCGGGGCAGTTTTGCTATCGCAGGGCTGGGTCTGGAGACATTTTTGGCTGCCAGGACTGAGAGATGAACTGTTAGCATCTAGTCCATAGAGACCGGGGACACCGCTTAACATCCTGCAACGAACAGGACAGTCCTCACAACAAAGCGCCATCCAGCCTGAAATGGCAACAGGGCAGAGACAGAGAACACAGCTCTACAGCATTTGAAAGACCGGCACGGGCAAACCGGAGGCCAAGGCCAAGGAAACTGCAGCCACAGCGCCCTGCCTCTCTGGCCGTGGTTCCTTCACTCATTAAACAGCATCTGGTGCGTACCCCCCGGGCTGCAGGCCCAGTCCTGGGCACAAGCTTAACACCTCACACCCAGAAATCGTCGCGTAACTTAACCACAAAAACGAAGAGACAAAGACTTACTTTTTCTCTCTCAGATGTCGAAGGCGATGAAACACGTTCATGACGTCCCGTATCCGTCTTGGAGCCTCTTCTATTTTGGAAGCCAGGTGAACACAGGCCATTGACACGTGCTGGAAGGTGAGCAACACAACAAACCCAGATGTGTTCCTCCCACCCCAAGAGCGCCAGAGCGCAGCGAACAGGGGACCCAAAAGCAAAGGCCGCTTTGGAGAAACCACTCTAGGGTCCCAGGGGCTCCCTGATCCCTCAAGCGCACTCCCACTAGAAGGCAGGTTCTTGTTCCTCCGAGAAACCCGCCAACAAGCAGCCCAGGTTCTCCCTCAGCGGAATTCCGTGGGAAAGAAAACGGGGAGAGCCCTTACCTCCATAGAATGCTTCACAAAAGACTTAGTATAAAAGAATCGCTGGAACAACACCTGCCCGGTAGCCATAGCCACCTAGAAGAGAGAAGTTCCCCTCACTTTTAAAGCCACGACCCCAGGGTTTTGCAGTGAGGTCCCCTGGTTTCGGGCGGCCGACACAGAAGCAGACACGACAACGTTTCCCAAGTCTACAAAGGCTCTTCGCGTGCCGCTGCCTCGCCTCCCTCTTCCCCTCTGACGCACGGCAGCGCGGAGAGCTAGGCCTGGATCGGCGCGGAGCCTGGGACCCCGGCGGGGACAGGAGCGGGGTCGGGGGTTGGCGCTAGTCCCGGCTCCGCCGCCAACAAAGGGTCCGACCGCCTCCCCCGGAGCCGGCGCGGCGGTTACCTCGGCCACAGGCTCGCGGCCGCGCCCTCACCTGCGGCAAGCGGAGCAGGATGCCGGCCGCCTGGATGAGCTCGCAGCCCACCACGCGGAGGTCTGTCTCTGTGTCGGTGTCGAGGCCACTCGACATGGACGGCGTGAAGCGGAGCTTGTCGTCAGGCAGGAGGCAGTTCTCCAAGGTGATCAGCACCCCGGAGTACAGCCGGTCCCCGATCAACATCCCCTGCGACCCGGGGGCCGCGTTCCCCGAGCCCGGGGCGCAGGCCGCTGTCGCGGGGACAACCGGCCCTGGAGTCCCAGCCGCGACCGTCGCCGCCGCCGCCGCCGCCATTTTGTGCCGCTGACTCCCCTTCGGGTTCCTTCCCGGCAGGGCGGCTCCTCGCGACGCTCTACCGCCACGACTGCCCCGCCCCCTCCGCGTGCCATTGGTTCCGTCGGCGGGCGGCCCGGCGTCGCCTGACCGCGATTGGCTGAGAAATCTACCCGTCAGCGTCGCGGCAGACGTCGACGCCGGAAACCAGCGAGGGCGGGGGCGGGCTCGTTACCCAGGGGCCCCGCGGCGCACGGGTGAGACCCAGGTCTGCGGCCCGACCCGGAAGCAATACTGGCGGTGCTCCTCCCCCTTTCCCCCCAGTGCGTCGAACCTTCAGCACAAAGACCCGGCAGCTCGTAGAGCTCCGGCCGCAGCCCCAGGGCTTCTTTGGGGCGGGGGTTCGGCCTGCCCTGAGAGGTTCGGCGCGCGGTTGGGCCGACCCCGCTCCAGGCCAGCGGGACGCGGAGACTTGCGCGAGGGCGCGTGCGGGGGCGTGGCGGCTTCCTTTCCGCGAGGATTGCGTCCTGAGCGCCGGGCTGTCCGGGGCGTGGGAGCAGCGGAGGCCTCCGGGGGTGGCCCAGAGGCTGAAAAGACTGGTGCGTGCGCTGGTGAGTGGTCCCCAGCCCGCGCCCGCAGCCACGGGATGGCGGTTTGCCGGAGTTGATACCTGACAGACGGCGGGGTCCTTATCTCTCGTCCTCGCTGAGTGCAGCCTTGGGGTGCAGATACTCACCAGATTCCTGAAATTCTTGCCTTTAGAGCGACATCCATAGGAAAAGTAACTGTAAACGTTAAGTTCCGTGTTTCTGCAGAGCATGGGAAAAGGCTGGCGTTCTTCCCGGGATGGAGGGGAAGGGAGCCAGGCTGGGATGCCCCGGGACCGTGGGAGGGAGCTTGGACTTTATCTTACAGTGGGGAGCCTTCGAAGGGGTTTGTGCATTTGTGAACCCTTCTTGATTCTGATCCCCCATTTCCTCATCACTTACTCCAGCGCTCTCAGGGTTGGTGAGTGTGCAGCTTCAGGGTTTTTTCTTCTTTTACGTCACCCGACAGCAGTACTGCTATCGCATCGGCACCAGAGGGGCAACTGCAGTACTAGTGATATTGACGTACAGTCAACCCAAACTTTCACCAGGACTAGTGCCAGAACCCACGTGAGGATGGTAGGAAAGCCTGGGTGAGGGGCAGCAGGGGCTGGGGCAGGTCCAGACACTGCACCCGCCCCAAACTTCTCAAACCCAGAGGCCACCGTCGGCTTTCACCCCTGGTAATACTTGGTTCTGCAACTCAAAAGTGCCAACCGAAATCCAGTCTTTCTTTTCATCTCCATGGACAACATGGTTACAGTGCCCCATCGCCCCTACCCCACGACGGCAGCTCCAGGATGTCCTCTTCTCTGGACCACGGCAGCACACAGGAAAGGAGGAATTTTTTTCTCTCCTCTGGAAACCCCAGGAAACAGCTTGTTTCTCTTTGGCACTGCCTGGCTGGTTTTTCCATCCCCTAAGCAGGGGAAGGAAAAGCCGATAGCTCTACCCAGTTTTGTGTCTATCAAAACCCATTTACTGACCAGTGTGCGTTGAGCACCTTGTATGCATAGCCAGGCACTAAACTAGGTGCAAGAGACTGTGAACAACTCAGCCCCACACCACCAAATGGCCCGGTGGCCTTCATTAGATACAGTGACAAGAGCCAGGAGGAAGGCCTGTTAGGAGGCCAGTACAATAACTGGAGCCAGAAGCAGTTAAGATGAAGTAAAGTGGACTGATTCAGGAGATTCCCCACTTGATTGGCTCTCCATGAGTCTGGAGATGGGCGCGGAGTCCACGAAAGGAACCAGGAAGGACTCTGAGGGGACTTCTGGCATAGGTTGGAGGGCCCAGCATGGGAGCATTAGGAGTGGGGGAAAGGTGGGCGCTCAGTCTGGGTAAGCAGGTGTACATTGCCAGATAAATGCAGAACTGCTACCATGGGCCTGAAGAACTCTGGGGTGGAGGGTGTGTGAGTGGGTGAGGTCAGAGGGCAGAGCAGAGGGAGACTGCGCCGAAAGAGGGGAGTCCATGGTCTTTGGGGGTCAAGGGCTGACTGTTATCTGTTGGATTTTGGTTCCAGATGGTTTTGGTGAGAATGACCAGGGCCTGATGGGGCCGATTATAGACCCAGTGGCAAGAAGCAAGGGGCAGAGACCGGAGCTGACCAAGAGGGGAGCATAAAGTACGTGTGAGAGAGGCTGAGGGTGGACTCCGCTCACCAAGAGACGGTAGCGGGAGGGACCTGGGCCTGGGCAGGAAGGTGGATGCCCCTGCAAGGCAGCAGTCAGCGGCAGACGGACATAAGGGACATTCAGAGTTCGAGCTGTAAGGAGTTCGTCCCCATCAGGGTAGCGAGCATGTTGGGAACTTGTATCCTGGGCCTGACTTTGTACTTAGGGAGAGCCACCCAGCTCACTGCTCTTACTGGGCTGGAGAATGAGGAAGAAACCAGAGAAATTGAAACTGGCAATCAGGGTGGCCCAAGAGCTGAGAAACATGGTCCCTGCTGGAGAGTAAAGACAAGGGGAGGGCAAGAAAGGTAGAAGAAAAGGCCAAGTCTGGGCAAGGTCAGAGTGGGGTTGCGAGGGTCGAGTTCTAAACACACCACCCACACAGCCTTGAGGAGAGCCAGGGTCAGAGTTCAGAGATCTGGCACAAGCCATCCTATCCAGCCCCTACAGGAGACCTAAGGCTCCCAGAGGAAGCACAGGCTCAGCTGACCCCTCACCCTAGCAGCCTCCCACACATACTCAGAGAACACAACGCTTTACGCCACACGAGCTTTATTTGCACAGTCTGTGTAAGATTTCTGAATCTGTCTCAATGAGAGGAGTCTGTCTCACACCTTTTACTAAAATGCAAATTAATATGACTCCTGATCACACACCATTGATAGAACTGATTTTTAGCTCCTCATATTTTAGTTACTGTGATCATCAGGGGAAACCTTTTCCTAAGACACTCAGCTGCGAAGAGCCCAGTGTTGGAACCCCTCAGTGATCCTGCACCACTCTGGAAAATATGCCTTCGGGCTCTTTCCCATCCCCCAGGGCAGCAGCAAATCCTTCCTGTCGCCTCCTTTTGGCCAAAGCAGCCAAAGATTTAAAAGTCTTTGGTTCATAGATGGCTAGATCCGCAAGTACTTTCCTGTTGAGCTCCACCTGGCACTGGGAAGAAAATCAGAGCCTGTGTCAGCATCAGAAATGTGGGCCAGCAAGACTGAATGCAACAGAGAGTCCTATGGTTTGAGTCAGCCTTATGACCTCTGCTGCTAAGCGCACCCTGCGTGGCTCCCGGGCGGCCTCTGTCCTCCTGGGACACATGGTCTGTTGGGGGCGGTGGAGAGCAGGATGCTGGAGGAGCACTGTGGACTGCGACAGGGGGAAGGCATCCCTGCAAGGGGCGTCTCATGAACAAGAATGCCGGTACCCCGTCCTGGTGCCAGCCGTGGAGTGAAGAACCTTGTTTAGGGGGGCGCCTGGGTGACCCAGTCAGTTGAGTGTCCAACTTCGGCTCAGGTCACAACCCCAGAGTTTGAGTTCTAGGCCTGCATTGGGCTCGCTGCTGTTAGCGAGGGACCAGCTTCATATCCTCTGCCCCCTCTTTCTCTGCCCCTTCCCTTGTGCACACTCCCTCTCAAAAATTAAAAGAAACCAAACACCTTGTTTAGGGTCAACGGCCATCACCCAGACAGAACTAGGGCTGCTGGCCTGGGGTAGCCCTTTAAGTCAGCTTCAAAGAGGAAATCACAACTCTCATTTTACAGTGAAGTGAGACACAGAGAAGTATGTGAAATGGAAGAAGGGAGTCAGGAACGAAACCAGGCATTCTCAATTCCCACAAAAGAACCAAACCAAATAATCTATCAGGTAAAACTGCAGGTTAACTTCTGAAAACTGACAAACTTGAAAAGCAGTAGAGAAGTAGGACAATCCCTGTGTATTAACCCAACTGGGCAGGGGTGGCTCCTGCCCCACTACCTGGGGCCTTGGGCAAAGTCCGTCCTGAGCCTCAGCTCCTATCAGTACAATGGGGATGCCATGCAGGAGGACCCTTGCAAAGTACCAGACGGCGCGCCGCATGCTAGGTGCACCACACCCACTGCCTTTTATAAGGAAAAATTAAATGCACACAAAAGCAGAGAGATTAGCACAATCACTAGATTCAACAGTTACCAAGGTTTTGTGACACACGCTTAATCTCTCCCGTCCAAAACTCACCCTGCGGTTACACACCAGGAGCTTCAATTTCATCTGCTTCCTCATTAGAAATCTCAGTGTAAGACTCTGAAGTTACACTTTAAAGTTAAAGCCAAGTTTTCTGCTTTTTCTTTTTTAAGTAAAAAATTTTTTAATGTTTTATTTATTTCTGAGAGAGAGGGAGACACAGAATCTGAAACAGGCTCCAAGCTCTGAGCTAGCCGTCAGCACAGAGCCCAACGCAGGACTTGAACCCACGAACCGTGAGATCATGACCTGAGCCGAAGTCAGATGCTTAACCGACTGAGCCCCCCAGGCGCCCCTGCTTTTTCTCCTAATGAGGAAACACGAGAGCTCATGTTCTGGTACCACTTGCCCTACTTCCAATTCTACTACCAACCAGGCAAAAGCAAGGCCATCGTGAGGCGTCCCTGAACCTGCCAGAACTCCAACGTGAGAACCCATCAGGGGGCTAACACTCTGCTGCCCGCTGTACCAGACCACACCATCTGGGCCACTTTCTACAGACCTCAACAGACCATCCTCAACCATACCTTAATTAAATTGACAATGAATGCTGGGTACTTCAGGCCGTGTTCCTGGGATGCAGCTGTAATTCGATTAATCCAGAGCTGAAATAAGAAAACATTTGAGATGCTTAAGAACTAGTTGTCCAGGGATGCTTGGGTGGCTCAGTCATTTTGGTGTTCAACTTTGGCTCAGTACCACAAACCTCATGATTCTGAGGTTTGTGGGTTCAACCCCTGCATCAGGATCTGTGCTAAGAGTTCGAGCCTGGAGCCTGCTTCGGATTCGGTCTTCCTCTCTCTGCCCCTCCCCCACTCATGTGCTCTCTCTAAAATGAATTTTTTACTTTAAAAAAAGAACTAGTTGTGCATTACATCCACAACTCCCAGAAAAAGTTCTGAGTCAAGTAAAAGTCCAGGTAAAATTTTTTTTTGCAAAAGTAAATAGAAGTTGCCGCGCCTTGGTGGCTCAGTTAGGCATCAGACTCTTGGTTTTGGCTCAGGTCATGATCTGACAGTAGGGGAGTTCAAACCCTGTGTTAGACTTTCCACTGATAGCATGGAGCCTGCTTGGTATTCTCTCTTTCCCCTCTCTCTGCCCCTACCCTGCTTGGGCTCGCTCACTTTCAAAATAAATAAATAAACTTTAAAAAATTAAGATAGAAAAGTCAGTGCTTTCTCTGTAGGCACACTGGACTGTGGTACAGTCAGGGAGCAAAGGCTGATGCTCTTCATTCAAATGCCAGCTTCCTTCTAAATAATAAGTAGGGAAGTCCCAAGGTGTAAAGCATTAATTCAATACACATTTTTAGGCCCCAAGAATACAAAAATGAGCAAAACATTTTGTGGCAGACACAGCTCAGTGTAGAAAAGATACACATGGATGAGTTACAATAGCCACTGATATTAGTGCTACCAGGTGGGGATGAAAACGGGGTGGAAACTTCACAGAGGTGGAGGGAAAAGGGTCTGGAGGGAAGGAGAGGCATCCCAGAGGACCCTCCTGGCAAGGAGTAGTTGGGTAGGTTCCAGGCACATCAAAAGGTCTGAAAACTGCAAGGAAATCAAGGCTGGTGGTTAGGTTCAGAATGATCTGGAAGGTAAGTCAGAATGATGTCAAAGTTTCTGCATATACCTGACCTGTTAAACAAGGGGTTGGATTGTGAGGCAACTGGGTGGCTCATTCGGTAAAGCATACAATTCTCAACCTTGGGTTTGTGAGTTTGACACCCCCCCTCTCCACACTGAATGTACATATTACTTTAAAAATAAAATCTGTTTGAGGTGCATAGGTGGCTTAGTGAGTGGGAGAGTGAGTGAGTGAGAGAACCTGCATCCGGTTCTCTGCTGATGACCTGGAACCTGCTTCAGATTCTGTGTCTGTCTCTCTCTCTTTCTCTGCCCCTCCCCCAATCACTCTGTCTCTATCAAAAATGAAAAAAATGCTAAAGTCCTTTTTATCTTTGTTTTTAAATCTTTTTTTTTTACAAATAGTTTGTCAAATTAGTTTCCTTTAAATTAAAATCTTAAAAAAAGGGATTAGATTCTTAAGGCATTCTTTCCTCAATCTTAAAATGGTACTCAAGTCCATTTTCTTCCTTCAGGGCTTTTAAAGTTTGAACCTGCATCAGAATTACTAGAGGCTTGTTAAAGCAGATTTGTGGTGCAGCCTGAGAATCTGCATAGCTACCAAGTTCCTATGTGAGGCTGCTGCGGTAGGCGGCTCCCACCCCATGATGAGAACCTCGACTCCAATGAGCAGCAAGTGCACTTGTGCTACCAGACTGCTCCCAAGTCGTCTCATACACATTTGGCCTGACAAGATCTGCACAAGGTCACAGGAAGCACCACCTCTACCATCCTGAGAAAATAAAAGACACAAAGAACAGAGTGGAGATGCAGAGGCCACTCCTGCACGCTAGGCCATCCTGTACAGGGATAGTTTATCCTGCTGTGTGATCCAAATCTACAGTTAATAGGCATTTCTGATTTTAAAGGACCAGAAGTATCCCCTCTCATTCATTCAGGCACTATTTAGGAAGGGTGACTGATCTAGGCCAGAGATTACAGAATTCCAAAAAAACAAAGATCCCTCCTAATACATTTGGGGGCGGGGAGCAATAACCAATCAACCAAGTCAAGTATGTGGTACATTGGACGCTAAGTCCACGACAGTAAGGGAGACCCACCGCAGTGGGGCGGAACCCAGAATGCAAAAGACACCGGAAGCGCAAAGAGCTTGTGAGGAGGCAGGCTAGGCTTCTTCCAGGTGCGCGTCGGCAGCCAAGAGTGGCCCTGCAGCTGAGCAAGATGGGGTGGCCAGGGACAGGTCTCAGTACCCAAGTCGGCCTGGGGTCGGCTTTCGTTAGAGGTGTGATGAGAAGCTGCCACTGACCTTTAAGCAGAGAATAGATGAGAGCAGTAGACTAGGGCGGCGGTGGGTGGCAGGGAGACTGGCAAGGGGGCTTTCATACGGGCCCGAGCGGGAGTGGGTGGGGAGAAGGTGGGCTCCCGGATACCCCGATTCTGTGCCTGGGGCGGGGTTTCGGACGTGAAGCGAGAGAAACAAGGAGAGCGACGGTGGTGCTGAGGACGGAGAAGCCAGCCCCTAAGAGGGGGGCGGAGAGAGTTAGGACCCGACGGCCTGTCTCGCTGGGTTCACAATGGGCCTTAGACGTCGGACAGTCGGGCCTCCGTCCTGCAGCGACCGCGACTCTCCTGGGACCACGAGGGAGGGTTGGGTGGAAGGGGCCGGCCGAGCCCGGCCTTCCCGGGCCCGCGCTTACTGTCCGCATGTTCCGCTTCTTCAGTCTTCGCGCCTTCGTGCATTTCACAAACGCTCTGGTCACCGCTCTGACCGCCAGCCGGTAGCAGCGATTCTTCCTTCCCCGAAAGTGCTGGGTGAAGAAACGGGAAAGGATTGCGAGCGCGGCCCGCAGGCTCCGCGCCCCGCCTGCGCGCCCCGGGCCGGGAGGACACGCGGGCGCCGCGGGGTGTGCGCGGCCGACTCACCCGCGCGTGCTGCAGCACCTCCTGGACCCGCCAGTAGCGGTCAGTGAGGCGGCTCCGCAGCCAGAGCTGCGCGGCGAGGAAGACCATGGCACCCGCTGGCCGGCGCCCCCTCTCCGCCGCGCACGCGCCGCACCGCCCTCAGCGGAAGCGGTGGTGGCGCCCGAGCGCTTCCGGGTCGGCGGGTCGACACCCGGGCGGGGACTTCCGGGGCGGCGCGGGCGCCCACGGAGCCCTCGCTGGGGCCCGAGTCTTGCGCGCGTCCCTGTGTGTGGCGGGCTCGGGACGCGGGGGGCTCGCACCGGCCGCCGCAGAGCACCCTCCGCGGGGTTTGGCTGCAGTCGACGCGGCGGGGCTCCCAGTCTTCACAGCGAAGCGCGTCGGTAGCGGAAGTTGCGGTGGAGAAAGAAACGTCGGCGGTTCCACTACTAGGAAAAGCCCAGAATAAGCGGAAAGGCGGGGGTGGGGTATTCGGGGCGTGGCCCCCGGTGGACGCAGTTTCCGTTTGGGGTGATGAAATGTGGATGGTGGCGACGGTTGTCTAATGTTGTAAAGATGCTAAACACCATGGAATTGTACACTTTAAAATGGTCTCAAAGGGGGTTCGCTTCAGCAGTATGTATACTAAAATTGGAACGATAAAATGGTAAATTTTATGTATATTTTACCAACATGCCACTATATTACCATTACTTTGAAAAATAATGAAGTAGGGGGTAGAATGGGAGTTGGAGTTTGCTTGTAACTTTAAAAAAAATGTTTTTAATGTTTGGTTTTTAGAGAAAGAGCAAGGAAGGGGCAGAGGGAGACACAGAATCCCAAGCAGGCTCCAGGCCCAGGGCTGTTAGCACAGAGCCCGACTGGGGCTCTAACCCCACGAGCAGCCAGGTCATGACCTGAGCGGAAGTCGGACGCTTAGCCGACTGAGCCACCCAGGCGCCCCCTCCCTTTTTTTCTTTGTAACTTTTGAAATTACAGAAAAGTTGCAAGACTACCTCTCCGAACTCCCCAATGCACTTTACCCCATAGTACCAACTGTTTATAGTTTTTTCCATTTTATTTTTTTGAATTGTTTTAATGTTTGTGAGAGGCAGACACAGATTCCGAAGCAGGCTCCAATCTCTGAGCTGTCAGCACAGAGCCCAAAGCCAGGCTCGAATCCTTGAACCGTGAGATCAGGACCTGAGCGAAGTCAGCTGCTTAAGCGACTGAGCCACCAGGCGCCACACAGGTTTTTCCATTTTAAAGTTATTCTTCCTAAGAAGAATTAACTCCTGGGGTGTCTGGGTGGCTCAATTAAGCAGCCGACTTCGGCTCAGGTCATGATCTTGCATTTTGTGAGTTCGAGTTGGGCTCTGTGCTGACAGCTCAGACCTGGAGTCGGCTTGGGATTCTGTGTCTCCCTCTCTCTCTCAGCCCTTCTCCTGCCTGCGTGCACTCTTAAAAATAAACATTAAAATTTTTTTTTTAATTTCCAGTCCTTCGTTGGAGCATTCATCATTGATTTTTCTGACCCTATCATTCTTCCTATAGTCATTGGCACTCTACTTAAAGAGGAGCTTTCCCTTTGGGGAGGTGCAATTTTGAATAGTGTTAGAGAGTGCAGTGAGAAGATAGTGTTACATAAAGAAGGAGGTGACTGATTGAGCCGGGCACGTATCTGTGGGAAGGGTATGCCAGGCAGAGGAGCCAGCAGGTGTAAGGACTAGAGGCAGGAGAGCACCTGGTATGCCCAAGAACATTAAAAATGGAGTGCCTGTCATATGTTTGCACGTATAGGAGGATTAGGAGGAACTTGACGAGGGAACAAGGGGGAGAAGAAGGGCGGAAATGGTGGGGGAAAGGGAGAGAGGCAAACCATGAGAGACTCTTGAATGCTGACAAAAACTGAGGACTGATGGATGTGGGGGGGTGGGGGGGATGGGCACTGAGTGTTATGTGGAAACTAATTTGACAATAAACTATTTGTAAAAAAAAAAAATGGAGTGCCTGGCTGGCTCAGTTGGTAGAGCACGTGACTCTTGATCTCAGGGACAGGAGTTTGGGCCCCACTTTGGATGTAGAGACTAAATTAAAACTTAAACAAACAAACAAAAACAGCAAAACTACCAATGTGATGGGAATGGGGCAAATGAGACTCCCAGGGATCCCTGAATCTCAGCAAATTAAAGGCCAGAGATGTAAGTTGATGACGATGTGTATGTAGGACCTTGGTCACGTAAGGACGTTGATGTTCTGGCTGCCATGCTGCATGTGGGATTCCTCACAGCACGGTAGCTTCAGGGAAGTCACTCCCTGTAAGGTGGCTGAAGGGAAAGGTGACGCGGATGTCTTATCGCCTTGGCTCACCCTGGAGGGCCGCATAACATCATTTCAGCAATACTGTGGCAGCCTGAATAGCCACAAAAGTTCACTCAACGTCAAGGGGCAGAGACACAGACTCCAGCTCTAGATGGTAGTGTTAACATTAAAAATGAAATTGCCAGGGGCGCCTGGGTGGCTTAGTCGGTTAAGCGTCCGACTTTTGCTTTAGGTCATGATCTCGCGGTTCGTGGATTCGAGCCCCGCGTCGGGCTCTGTGCTGACTGCCAGCTCAGAGCCTGGAGCCTGTTTCAGAGTCTGTGACTCCCTCTCTCTCTGACCCTCCCCTGCTCACGCTGTCTCTCTCTCTCCTAGAAATAAATTTAAAAATATTTTTAAAAATAATAAAAAATGAAATCTGTCCCATAAAGCTGTTCTCTCAGAAAAACTATAGTTTTTTTTTAATGTTTTTATTTATTTCTGAGAGAGAAACAGCGTGAGCAGGGGAGGGTCAGAGAGAGAGGGAGACACAGACTCTGAAACAGGCTCCAGGCTCTGAGCTGGCAGTCAGCACAGAGCCCGACGCGGGGCTGGAACCCACAAACCACAAGATCATGACCTGAGCCGAAGTTGGACACTTAACCGGCTGAGCCACTCAGGCGCCCCATAAAAACTGTAGTTTTAAATCAAATTAATAGTGGTGATTTTTCTGAGGATACAGAGGTGGGCAGTCAGAGACCAGCAGCCCTCTGTTTCGATTGTATCACCGGAGTTTTAGTTTATGGAGATGGGTGAGATGGGTGAGGTGACAGGGAGAAGCTGATGCCATTGAAAATACATTTCTTGGGGCGCCTGGGTGGCTCAGTCAATTGGGCTTCCGACTTCGGCCCAGGTCATGATCCCGCACTTCATGGGTTTGAGCCCCACATCAGGCTGTGTGCTGACAGCTCAGAGCCTGGACCCTGCTTTGGACTCTGTGTCTCCCTCTCTCTCTGCTGCTCCCCTGCTTGCACTCTGTCTCTTTGTCTCCCAAAAATAAATAAACATTAAAAATTTAAAAGAATACTTTTCTTATTACCCGCATTTCCTGAGAGACGAGGGCACGCCATGCCCCCTCGGGCCACAGGGAGAGACACCGGTGTCCTCCGGAGGCGGGAACAGGAGCAAGGGGAGAGCTTGGGCCAGAGCCTTTACTGGAGTTCCCACAAGGAAGGTAAGGCAGGGCCAGGGCGGCAGTTTAGAACTGGCTGGTTGAGCAATCCCGTGGTCCTGGGTGCGTCGGGCCTGTCCCGAGTTGGCTGGTACCTGACCCTAGATAAGTTAGGACGGGCAATATCAACTGGGTGTGGAGAGGGAAGACAGCAGTTCTGAGTGCAGGCTCGATCACAGGGGAGATGGAAACAACCATGGCCATTATTTTGGGCCTGTAGTAAATGGATGTCAGCAGACAAATACCGGACCTAACAAAACACAGGAAGAACATTCCCATGTACAGAGAGAGCAGCGGAGAGTGACAACCCCATGATGGACACAGGGGACACTGTCAGGGTTTAGTCGAATCTGTTGCCACAACTCAGTCTCTGAGCTAGCGTGCTGCAGGGGTGATGTGCCCCCAGGGGGCAGGGGAGCCGTCCCCGGCCCATCACTGGAGGTCAAGCCACTGCCCGCCTCCTCTTCCAGGAACCTCTAGCTGTCCTCGCCTCTGTCCACGCAGGCAGTCTTGGCCCAGAAGAGAGGAGCCTGGCACTCTGAAGGCTGTGGGAGCATGGAGCCTTCTGCCCAGCTCAGGGCCTCTGGGCCTATGTACCCCCACTCCTACTCTCTGCAAAGGGTAGGCAGCGCCTGGGGCAGGCCCCCTCGGACACCAGGTCCTGGACCACCTCACCCCACTGTGTCCTCAAGGTGGGGCTAGCCCCTCGGCTCAGCAGAAGCTGTGCGGTGGGGCCGTGGCCGTGCTCCACGGCAAGGTGAAGGGGGGTCTTGTGGAGCCATCCAGCAGCGTTGACCTGCGCCCCGCTGTCTAGGAGGTGGCTGGCAACCTCGGCATGGCCTCCCCGAGCAGCATGGTGCAGGGGTGTGAGGCCCAGTGAGTCTCTCGCGTCCACCTCGGCTCCCCAGGCCACTAGCAGCTGGACGGCGGGCAGATGACCCCCCGCAGCAGCCCTGTGGAGTGCAGAGCGACTGTGCCTGTCCTTGAGGCTGGGGTCTGCCCCGTGGGCAAGCAGCACCTCCATGTCCTGGAAGAGGAGGGAAAGAGAGGACAGGGACTGGCCCTGGCCCAGGCAGGTGAGGGGCTGGGGCCCCACAGCTTTTGTCTGACCCACCCACACCTCATCTGGCCTCCCCACTCTTTCTCAATGCTGCTTCCCCATTTGGTAAAAATGAGCCAGCACCTCTGCCACCCTGGAGGGACCCTACTCCAAGACATCCGCTTGTTCTCCTAAACTTCCTCGCCAAAATCCAAGACTAAGCAGCCAGCTGCCCCCCTCCCCGCTGCCTAGCGACCCGCTGGACTCAGGCACACTCCTGGTGCTCAATACGTACTTGCGGCTGCCGATCACCAGAAACAAGTCCGAATGCCTCTCTGGCGTCCTAACCCGGCTTCCAGGAGACACATAGTCAAGGCTGCCTTCGGAACCCGGGCAGCCGCTCCCCCCGCCCTCCGGTCTCGCTCCGTCCGTCCGAGGGGCCCGCCTGTCCGAGCCCTCCCCGCAGCCGGGCCGGAACCTACCTGCCCGCGGCCCAGGCTCGCCGCGATGCCGAGCGCCGTGGCCCCCGCGCCGTCCCGGGCGTCCACCCGCGCCCCGCGCGCCAGGAGCAGGCGCAGCGCCGCCGCGCGCCCCGCCGCCGCCGCCACGACCAGGGCGCCGTCCGCGCCCGCGCCGCCCGCCGCCAGCAGCAGCTCCAGCACCGGCAGCCGGCCGCCCGCCGCCGCCCAGTGCGCCGCCGTCCAGCCGCGCGCGTCCGCCGCCGCGGGGCCCGGGCCCGGCGCGCCCAGCAGGCGGCCGGCCAGCAGCGTGCGGCCCAGCGCGGCGGCGCAGTGCAGCGGCGTCAGGCCGGCCCCCGAGCGCGCCGCGGCCGGGGCCCCGCGGCGCAGCAGCAGCTCGGCCGCCCGCGAGTGGCCGTGCCAGGCGGCCTCGTGCAGCGGCGTGCGCCCCGCGCGGTCGGCGGCGCCCACGGCGGCCCCGCGCCGCAGCAGCAGACGCACCAGGGGCACGTGGCCGCGCAGCACGGCCAGGTGGAGCGGGGTCCTGCCTGCGGGGTCCCTGCGGGCGGCGAGGGTGGTGTGGACCAGGGCGGGCCTGCGGGCAGAGGCGCCCTTCCCTCCCCGCCCCCCTTGCTCAGTGAAGGGACCCGTGCCAGCCCCTCGCCCCCGGCCAAGACTCTCCGTCCGGCCCTGGGGCTCACCTCTCCTCCACGCTGGCCCCCTGACGCAGCAGCTTTGTCACCAGGTCCGGGTGACCCCTCCACACGGCTTGCAGCAGGCGCCCCCCGGCTGGTGCGGCGCTGGGCCCCTCGGCCCTGGCTCCCAGGGCCTCCTCTGAGCTCAGCTCCACCCACCGAAGCTCCTGCTCCGCTCCTGCCTCAGTCGGATCCTGATCCCCTGGCCGGGAGCTCCCGGGGTCCGTCTGAGAAGAACAGGGATCCTTCACGGATACTGGGGGCCCCTGGCCAGCTCCAGCCCATGTGTCCCCAGGCCAATATGAACTGCCCCCCCCCCGCCCACCTCCCCAGGGGACCAGGCTACCACTTAGCCTTCTGAAGGGTTTAGCTCTCAGTTACCCCTTGAGGGAGTCCTCCCTGGGGCTCTGTCCCCCAGCCGGGGACGCCCCCCATGCTGTCTCTGGGCAAACCACCGCCTGGAGGCCCTCTCATCTCCTCAAAGTGTGGAAGCGGGGGCGTCTGCTGCCAGAGGCCAGAGGCCAGAGGCCACGGCTGCAGCTGTGGGGGTTAGCAGTGCTGCCTCCTGGGCCAGGCCAACGGCCACTTCCCACCCTGTCCACCCAGCAACTTGAGGAGACGCCCTGCCCTGCCTGCTAGTGACAGCCCCTGCCCCAGCACCTTCCTCCCCTGCCAACCGCCAGGGCTCCTGGCCTGGGCTCCTTCCTCAGAGACAAAGGCCAGGCAGGCAGAAGCATGCCCACAGACTCTGATGTGCCCTGACAGGCCCCGGGGAGGCACCCACACACCTTCCCTTGGGTCCCTCCCTCGGGCCCTGCTCCTCACCTCCACTCCTGTTCCCATTGGCGAAGACGACCTGGGGGGCCGGAGCTTGGCCTTTCTCTTGATTCCAGGCTGGGGAGGTGGACAGGGTAAGGTGACCCTCCCCCCACATGCAGATGCGATACCAGGATAGAAGATTTACCACGGATGCCAGGCAACTTGGGTGACACCGTGGGGAGTAGGAATCCCTCAGGTTGAGGCAAGTCATCAGAGGCTGTGGAAGGGGCAGCGCCCCAGACTGAAGGAGGGACCCAGGCAAAGAGAAGATTCTCAGAAGAGCCAAGTCCGGAAGGTAGAGAGTGGGTGCTGCACTGGAGGGCCCAAGTAAGGCCTCCAGGATGGGTCACCTTGACTCTGGGGCCTTGGCATGAGATGCTTTCCCATCCCCGATCTCTGGCTGAGGCCAACTGCCCAGAGCCCAGACAGAAGGAGGGACAGCCGGCTCCTGGAGCCTCCCCTGTCCAGCTGCCTCTTCTGACCATCCACCCGGAGGCAGTACAGCTTTGGTGGCCACTCCCTCCCCGTCCCCACACGCACACTCCCAGGAATGAGGTGTCCTGAAGGCCCTGCCCTGTGCCCCACATCTCCCTCCAGAGGGCCAGCAGAGCCTTGGCCCTTCCCCCAGCTCCCTACAGAGAAGCCTTTCCCATGCAAGATCCAAAAGGGCAGGTCTTTGGCAAGGAGCCGAGTGGCCCCATCTCACCCCCAAGCCATGTGGACTCAGTCACTCTGTACAGATGTCACCTCCCCCAGGGAGCCCTCAAGCTTCACCCCTGATTTGAAGAAGCTCAACCCTGTTTTGTTTTTTCCCTAGCACTTACCACTCCACAAAAGTAGGTGTTAACTCTATTTTAAATGTTTGCTTTCCTCTTCTAGAATGAAGGCTCCATGAGGGCACATCCACAGGCTAACAGATTCAACCGGTAAGGAAGCAACATGCTCTGGGTGGACGAGGACAGTGTACACCTACGTAGCCCGCAAAAACAAGAGTGCAAAGGCTTGACAAGTGGCATGGGCCGGGGGGAGGGGTGAATGGGCACCCTGTTGCTGAAGAGCTACCCTGCACTCCGGGAGGCCTGGTGGAAAATCACATACCTCCTGCGAGTCAGATAAGCCTAGAAACTGCCTTCCCAGGGGCAGAAGTCAGCTGCGAGACTGGTCCTCCCCGCTTCTGCCACCGTCCGGAGCACTGCAGCTCGCTCAGCTGTGAATTCGTGCAGGCTCGTCAGGGCCCCGTCCCCGCAGAGCAGAGGCCCCCCGGCCTCCTTTACCATTACGCCCCCTGAGCCTAGAGCAGTCCTGGCACACTGAGGGAGCTCAGCGAGTGTGAGTGTTTACTGTGTGAGCCAATGAATGCAAGAGGGATCTGAGCAGAGGATGGAGTTTAAGAGATTAGGCGGGTACCCTCTCCACCTGAACTCCGCATCTGCAGCATCTGAACGTTATCTCTTACGACAGGTTTTACACTAGATTCATTACCTGGATAAATAAACAGCTACTGTAAGATCGTGGTATGCGTACGCCGGTGAAAACAACTAACCCATGTGTGTGTTGGGCAACAAGGCTTGGCATGTGCTGCAGGGAACCTCCGCTAGCCTTCTCACAGGGGCATGGCCCAGGCTGGCATTCCTTAAACCTGCAGTGCACAATCGCGACCATCTTCCCCGTCCACATGTGTCTGAAGGGAATCTATGTGCTGGAAAGTGTTAGAAGAAAAGTTGGACGTGATAAGGCCCGTGGTGGGAGAAGGTGTGAAAGGGGAACACTGGCATCTGATGCTCCACACCTTGGTCACTGGGCTCACAGGTAACCTACTCATTAGTTAGACATCAACTAGTTACATAAGTGGCATTTAATATGGTGAACGCTCTGCTAGGACTTAAGAGCATTTAGGTAATATTTGGGGAAATTAGTTGGGGTTTAAAGAGACAGAGGAGGGGGCGCCTGGGTGGCTTAGTCGGTTAAGCGTCCGACTTCCGCTTAGGTCATGATCTCGCGGTTCGTGGGTTCGAGCCCCGCGTCGGGCTCTGTGCTGACTGCCAGCTCGGAGCCTGGAGGCTGTTTCAGTCTGTGACTCCCTCTCTCTCTGACCCTCCCTTGCTCACGCTGTCTCTCTCTCTCTCTCTCTCTCTCCTAGAAATAAAAAAATATGTATATATTAAAGAGACAGAGGAGCTGGGAATGTTTCCCCCCAGTTGAAATAACAGAATACATGCTCCCACTGTTTTCAGGATGGATGAGACTCCAACGCAAAGGGTGCTGTTATTGAGCACCTTCTGTGTGCTGAGTCCTACGCTAAGTGCTTTTCACATGCATTGCCCACATGCCTTCTCAAGAGCCCTAAGGTGTGGGTGCCCAGTGTTTTCCCTGCTTTCCTGAGGCTGAGAGAGGCCAGCTTTGGCAACAAGGACACCCGTGGGGACTAAGGCTGGGAAGTGGAGTGGGTGGCCACCTCCACACAGCAGCAACTGATGGGGCAGTTGTCAGACTCAAGACCTATGAACTGAAATCTGTGGGGGGGAGCTTGAGGCAGGGAGAGGGCGGGACCCGGAGGGAGGAGAGCCCCAGTGCCAGGACAGCTGTGCAAGCCCTGCCCAGAACACAGAAGAGCTGGCTGGGCACACTGACCAGAGCCGGAGCTGTAGTCGCCTGGCAGAGAGTGGCCCAGCCTGGCATCAGAGGAAACTGAGGCAGGGGTGTGGCCTTGGAGACTGACCAGGGCTGGACCTACCTGGACCAGGTGCTGCCCTCCAGCTGGGTCCGGTGTGGTTGCCGGTGTCGGGGTGGGAGTCTGACCTGGGGACTTAGGGCTGATGCCGGGGTCCTCAGTCCTTCCATCTGACAACCTCTGTGAACCCACCGGGCCCGTTGCCTGCGAGAGCATGAGTGAACAGACGGAAACAGAGGAGGATGAGGCAGGCAGCACTTCAGACACGGCCCCCATGCTGCCGGAAAGGTTTCCTGACGGCCAGGCCTCGGCCCTCATGTCCCCAGGGTGGGTAGGCCTGACGGTCCGAGGCCTTGGGACCCTGCTGCTGCCTGGCCAGGCCCTGGCTGGACTCCTGCTGCGCCTGCTGCTGCCTGCGACCGTGTTCCTCCTGGCCCTGCTGCCAGCAGCCGCCATCGTGTACGTGGGATTCCTGTGCCACTCGAGGGTGAGCGAAGCCCTCCGTGGGCAGGGTGGGGGCTGGCTGGGGCCCGTAGCAGTTGGGGGTCCTGCAGAAGTGCTGGGCCCTGGGGCTTTGGGTGACTCTGCCCCCTTCCTGCATGGTCCCCTCGTCCTAGAGACATATGTGCCTTTCCCTGGAAAGCCCCTTCTTCTTCCACCCCCCCCAACAGCAAAAGAAGGGCTTTTGTTTGTCCCGGAGGGAGCAGCTCCCTCCCCTTCCCTGAGGCCTCCTAGCCTCGTACCAGGGCCCACCAGGGCCTGGACAGCTGGGCATGGTGGGAAGAGGAGGGGCGTTCCAGGAAGAGAGGATGAAGATGTCATCGAAGTTCTGCAGTCCACCCGCCGCCCCAGCCACTCAGACCTCTCCTGCCCTGGGATGGGTTTCCCTCTGTGCAGTGGGCTGAGGCTTCGCCTAAGGAAGGGGGATGACGGGCCCTGTGTCCTCCTTCGGGAGGCATAAGGCAGGGGCCACAGCAGAGAGGGTGGTGCCGGCTGGTGAGATGCCAACACAGGGAAGGGCCATGGGAGAGCAGAGAAGGGAGGAAAGTGGGGATGCGACAAGCGGCGAGCAAGGCCCTGAGCCTCCCCTCAAGAGACCCCTACTTGAGCCCTTTACCGCTTGGGTCCCGGATCTCGACTCAGAAACACCTGGCTACAGCCAGCCACAGTCACCCCACTGCACCAGGCCGACCTTAGGCCCGTCCACCTACTCCCGCCCCGGGTCGTTTATCGCGCCCACCCCCAGGCCTCCCCCTCCCCTCCCGGCCTCGCCTCCAAAGACCGCGCGCCCCGCCCCGTTCACCTGTCCTAGGCCCCGCCCCCGGCCCCCAGCGGCGCCTCCTGCCCCCAGGTCGCGCCCCCCCGCCTGACTGCTCGCCCCGCCCCCAGGTTCACCCGGCGCCCCGCCCCGCGTGCCGCGCGCTGCTCTCGGACAGGGGCGCCGCGGCGCTCATCGTTCTCGGCTTCCTCTCGCTGCCTCCGCTGCTTGTGCTTGCCTCGGCCGCCCGCACCCGCCTCACCCGGAGCCTCCGCCCGCTGCTGCCGCCCCCAACTTGGACCCCGGGACCCCGCCGCCTCCCAGGGTCCAGCGACAGCGGGGGTGTGGGACGCCGCCCCGACGGGGAGGAGCAGTTCTGTGCCTGGGTGTGACCCCCCCCCCCGAGGCCTCTCCAAAGGACACGACCTCCAGATCCCGGGAGGCCCCCTCCCCCCTCCCCCCGTGACCCTCATAAGGGGGCCCCAGGCCGTCGAGCTCGGAGTCTGCGTCCAGGTTCGGTCCTCGGAAGTCGCGGGCACATCTCGGGGCCTCGTGCGCAGTGCTCCGAGTGGCCGCGAGGTGGCACCTGACTCCCCCGCACCCAGGCCGCCCTTCCCCAAGGTGCCCCCCCCCCGCAGTCCCCTCTGACGGGGAGAGGCTGGGAAGCCCCCAGGGAGGAGCAGGGAGACGCCTCCCAGAGAAGGGGCGCGAGGCCAGGCTCAGAGGAAGGTGGCGTCTTGTCGCCGGGGCTGCTCGGGGCTCCTGCGCGCTCCCAAAGGGCAGCCCTGAGGCCCCGGTGTCGGGTGGGTCAGCGGTCCTCCGGAGGGTTCCCAAGTGGTCAGAGGGGAGACTTGCTGGGAGACTTGCACGAGGGCCCGAGAACGTGGCTCCAGAAGCTTGGCGATGGCCAGCAAGCCCAGGGCCTGCAGGGCTCGCCTGACGCGGGGTCAGAGGAGCCACACTTAAGAACGTGGTCTGTTCTCACTGCATAATTTTAGGTCTTTGTCTTTTGCAATCGCTGGCATTAAGCATGTTACTAGTCGTGGATATGTCCTTACTTGTCCGTTTGGTACACGCCGTGTTTCCTGTTCCTACAGATCTGTATCTTTCATCGGTTCTGGAGAATTCTCAAACACTAGGTCTCCAAGTCGCCTCCCGGTTCATTGTACCCAGTCTTTCTAGGGACACCTATGGAATGAAGGCTTTGCCTTTTCCCTTCTCTTTCCAAGTCAATTCGCCTCTGCTTTGTATTTCCACCTCCGTCTGTCTCTGTGCATTCTGGGTGATTTCTTCATCTTCCTCCAGCTCACCAATTCACTGGTTGTATCCCGTCTGCCAGTTAACTCATCCATTCAATTTTAAGTTCTTTTATTATCATATCTAAAAGTCATACTTGTTTTTTTTAATTTAAATCTCATCATTTAAAAATTTTTTTGTTTATTTATTTTTAAGACATGCACACACACACACACACACACACACACACACAGTGCAAGTGGGGGAGGGACAGAGAGGGAGGCACAGAATCCAAAATCCAAAGCAGGCTCCAGGCTCTGAGCTGCCAGCACAGACCACGACAGGGGGCTCGAACCCACGGACTGGGAGATCATGACTGAGCCGAAGTTGAACATTCACCTGACTGAGCCACCCGGGAGCCCCTAAATCTCTTCATTTTTGATGGTCTCTGTGCGTGTTCAATCTTTGGATTCCAGCTTTACTTCAATTTCTTGAACATTTCACATATAGCTTTTTAATATTCTGTACCTAACAATTCCAATTTCTTACTCTTAGGGGTCCAAATCTGTTATTTATTGTTTCTGCTGATTCTCACTGATAGTATATTGTTTCTTTGATTGAATGCTCATTTTTTTTTAATGTTTTATTTATTTCTAGGTGAGAGAGAGAGAGAGACAGCGTGAGCAGGGGAGGGTCAGAGAGAGAGGGAGTCACAGACTCTGAAATAGGCTCCAGGCTCGGAGCTGGCAGTCAGCACAGAGTCCGACGCGGGGCCCGGACCCATGAACCACAAGATCATGACCTAAGCGAAAGTAGGATGCTTAACCGACTAAGCCACCCAGGCGCCCCTTGAATGCTCATTTTTAACTATCAGCTCATACCTGTGAAAATTCTTTTTTTTTTTAACGTTTATTTGTTTTTGAGAGAGAGAGAGAGAGAGAGACAGAGCTCAAGCAGGGGAGGGGCAGAAGAAGAGGGAGACACAGGCTGCAGGCCCTGAGCTGTCAGCACAGAGCCTGACACGGGGCTCGAACTCACAAACCATGAGATCATGACCTGAGCTGAAGTCGGACGCTTAACCAACTGAGCCACCCAGGTGTCCCCATTTCTGGTTTTTTTTTTTAATGTTTATTTATTTATTTTAAGAGAGAGAGAGAGGCTGAGCAGGGATAGAGGCAGAGAGAGTGAGAAAGGGAGAATCCCAAGCAGGCTCCACACTGCCAACACAGAGCCCATTGTGGGCCTTGAGCTCATGAATCATGAGATCCTGACCTGAGCCAAAATCCAGAGTCAGTTGCTCAACTGACTGAGCCACACAGGCACCCTGTTTGTTTATTTATTTTTTTTTATTTTATTTTTTTTAATGTTTTATTTATTTCTAGGAGAGAGAGAGAGACAGCGTGAGCAGGGGAGGGTCAGAGAGAGAGGGAGTCACAGACTCTGAAACAGGCTCCAGGCTCTGAGCTGGCAGTCAGCACACAGCCCGACGCGGGGCTTGAACCCACGAACCGCGAGATCATGACCCAAGCGAAAGTCGGACGCTCAACCGACTAAGCCACCCAGGCGCCCCTGTTTATTTATTTTTGAGAGAGAGAGAGAGAGAGCTAGTGGGGGAGGGACAGAGAAAGGGAGACAGAATCTGAACCAGGCTCCGTGCTATCAGTGCAAAGCCCAACATGGGGCTCGAACCCATGAACCGTGACCTCATGACCTGAGCCAGAGTCAAACGCCCCAATGCCTGTGAAAATTCTTGAGGACACATCCCTCAAGAGGGGATTCCTTTTCGAGGCATGCCCCATCTGGGCCCCACGAGGGTCCTGTGCAGGCTTCCATAATTGCCAGTGTGGCTCTCCATTCCTGTGTCCTGCTTTCCCATCTGTTCCGTTTCATCATCCTGGGTTTCTGCTCATTACTCTTCTGTTTGTTTATTTCTTTATTTTTAATGTTTTTAATCTGGAGGGAGCCTTGAAGATAGATACTTCCTTGTAAGCCCAGCAGTATGTTAAAAAATGTTTCTTGGGGCACCTGGCTGGCTCAGTCAGTAGAGCATATGAGTCTTGATCTCAGGGTTGAAAGTTCAAGCCCCATGTTGGGCATAGACATTACTTTTTAAAAAAAAAAAAATAATGTGTTTCTTGTAATTTGACCAGATTCTAGGGGTAGCTGAAAAGACTTTTAAAGGATCTAGCATACCGTGTTGCCAGCAGGGCTGTGTGTGTGACCAGCAGGCACAGGACTCAGATGTGCCCAAAGATCAGGGCTCAGGGTTTGGGCTGCAGGCTCAGGCCTCATTCCGTGGCCTTGAGCAGAGCCCGGTGTGTGGCTGGCTCAGATCCCACAGGAGTTCTTGGGGTTTTCCGATTGTCTGCACCCAGTCAGACAGGAGCCTGGCTGACCGCCCAGTGCCCAAGGATAGCTTCCCCTGGTCTGAGGCCGCCTTCCTTCCCCTCCTGCCCAGGGTTGGTCAGGCTCTGGCCAGGCTACGAGGAAGAGGACTCTCCTGAGGATCCGCCTGGCCCCAGAGTCATCAAAACAACAGCTGGGCCTGATGTGGGGGGGAGGCCTTGACGGAAAGCTCAGCTGCCGAAGCCCTAAGGGTTCCTAAGGTGTGTCCCAGCTTCCCAGGCCTGCACCCCAGGTCCTGCTTGGCCTCCAGCTGCCCCAGGCATGACCTGCCTCAGCCCCAGCTCGGCCCCACCCACTCACAAAAGAGCACCTGTGAAGGGAAGTAGGAGGTAAACAGAAGGGGCCTAGTGATCTGCTTTTATTTTTTTATTTATTTTTTAAAATATTTTATTTATTTCTGAGAGAGAGAGTGCATGAGCAAGCAGGGGAGGGTCAGAGAGAGAGGGAGACACAGAATCCGAAGCAGGCTGCAGGCTCTGAGCTGTCAGCACAGAGCCCGACGCGGGGCTCGAACCCACAAACTGTGAGATCATGACCTGAGCCGAAGTCAAATGCTTATCCTACTGAGCCACCCAGGTGCCCCAGTGATCTGCTTTTAGAGGGCCAGTCTGGAAAGTCCAGGGCAGAGGCACTGAGTCACTGGTGGGCCAGGCAGAGACCTCTACTTTGGGCAACAAACGCTGGTTTCCCAGGTGCCCAGGCCCCTGCCCTGTAAGAGTGTGTGCCTGGCCATCGGGTGTTCCCACGTGTGTTCGTGTGCCTCTGTGTGCGTGTGCGCATCACATGTTTGTTTACATGTGCATGCATCCCTCTGTCTGCTTCCCCTAAAACCCCAGGCAGGGACATCGTCCCACCCCAACAGGTGGCTCTATAATGTTCCCAGACCTGCCCAAGGTAATTTGTTCATTCACAAAGCATTTCTTCCTGGGAGCTCAGGTGTCTGCAGGCACACCCTTAGACACTGTTGGTAGCTAGGAGGGGGCCAGGGGACTTGGCCAGTTCAGTCCCCTCAGCCACACAAGCGGTGTAAGCCCTGCCCCCATCCAGGTATGTGGGGTAAGCAAAGGGTGCTAGGCAGGAATTGGGCTGGGGTGGGTGAGCTGGGTGGCAATAGGCAGTGCCTGGTGCTGGCTCTGAGGGCTAAGCTCCCTCCCCCTGTCCCCTGGGCCCTACCCTGACCTCTGGGGAGCCCCCACCAAGGTGTTGACCCTGGTCTATCCCTCCATACTCTCTATGCACGAATCCAAACTGGCCTGGACCCTGCCTGGGGCCGGGGCCGGTCGTGGTGTTCACCTTCGTGATACAGAAGTTTCCAGCAGAGGGAACCAAAGCTGGGGTCCCACCTCAGGAAGGGCACACTATGCAGCTCTCCGCACAGGCTAAAAACTTGGGACTCTGGATGCCTGCCTTCCTCTCTGTCTCCCACCCCCTGTCCATTAGGCTCTACCTGGATGGCAGCGACCAAGGCATCCCCTTAGATGCCTGGAATCAACCCGCTGGCATCAACACTGCCCCTGCCCCCATGCAAGCCCTATAAGCTGCTCCACCCTTTCTGCCCCCCAGGCTCCCTCACTGCCCTAACACACACCAGTCAGCGTCCCCCCGAGGGTCTGGGCACTTCCTATAGCTCCTGGCCACGTGGTCTGACATGGCCCTACCCTGACAGGGAAAATAAGCAGGCCTGCATCCGGGGCCAGCACGCCGCTGCCTATCCCCTTCCAGCCTGCAGGACGGGGTGCCTGCATGTCTACGGACTCTGGCCTGTGGCTGCCCTAGCTCACACCTGCTGGGTGAACTCAGAGAGGGCGCTACTCATCCCATGCCCAGGCTGCCCGCCCACGGCTGCCAGCAGGGGGACTGCGGGGGGGGGGGGGGGGGGTGTCTCAGCTCTGGGGCCGCGGAGGGCAGGCCTGGGCCCCTGGGGATTACGACAACAGGAGCTCCAGACCCTCAGGACTGGTTCTTACGTCTTGGCATGTCCCTGACCACAAACAGGCAGGTCCAGTGGAGAAGAATGTGTGGGTGGGGCAGCTGGGTTGGGGGCAGAAGGGGCCTCCGGGCTCTTGCCGCCCCTCCCTCTACCCCACTGACTGTTGCGGATGGGATCTGGGGGCCTTGGGCTTGCCCCACACCCCCGTTCCAGGACCACAGCCGCCCTGTCCCTGCCCCTGGTGGGCACGTGCCTGGGTGCGTATGGGAGATACAAACCCGTAAACAGCAGCAGCAGCAGCACGTAGCAGCCCTCCCCGCCCCCCGCTGGGTGAGGGTGGGGGCCCGCACTGCGCAGCTCCTCAGGCCCAGAGTGCCCGGGACTGGGGTCAGAGGCCCCGGGAGCTGCCCTTTTCCCTCGGGTCAAGCGAGCTGGGGACAAAAGGCCCTTCTTCTCTGCAGAGGCCTGGACGGTGCGGAGGAGGGCGCGTCCCGCGGGCCGGCGGGGGCGGGGCAGTGCCTTCAGAGCAGCCTGCATCTCGGGGAACCTCTCCACCTGCTTGCCGCCCAGCAGGCGGGGTGGGCCAGCTCCGGGAGGCGATGCTCTGGGGACTCCAGACTGGACCCAGGCTGCAGGGGAGGGCTGCCTCAGCCACACAGCC